CCCACCCCTCCCCCCACGACACCCACACTCACACCCACACCCACACCCACACCCCACACCCCACACCCACCCACACCCACACCCTCAATATGGAGGATCTTCGAATATATTAATTTCATTCTAAGAGAAAAAGAATTAAATATAGGAGATCAGATATGCCTTGAGTTGGTGTTCGATGTTGAAGTACATTTTGCATTTAGTTTTTTATCCATTCTTTGGTTCACATGCTAAGCAACATTAATATAAAGCTGAAATACGATGGATAATATTTTTTGTTATAAAAAGTCGATAACATTATCATAAAGAAGCACAATGTGAAATTCTAATAATGTAAAATATCTTATAGGTTTCGTTCTTCTTTCGATTTCTTACAAATATGCATTGCTGATCAAAGGCTTGTTGTTTAAGTTATTGATCAATGTTGTTAATACACAAAAACATTATCAGTCATACTCAATTTTATGATAAAAATCGACAGTGAAATTTGTAATTGACGCAAAACTAATATTTTTCAATCATCGCAACGAGATTTAAATAAAGACTGAAAAATACATCCTTATCAGTCGAACTATTTTAAAAGATTAAACGACACGAGTGAATCGAGTTTATTTGAATATTCTCTTTTAATAATATAAGGAATATTTCGCAATCCAAGTTCGAATGAACATCAATGAGAGTTTATCCAGTCGTTTATTTTCTTTTATTAAAGAAAAGTATGAATTGAATTCGAAAATTAGTAATTATATTGAAAATTATCACTTTTTCTATCAACTTACAGAAAAGTTATCTGATGTTTATAATCATGCAAGTCTCATCTATCCAACAATGAAATAAAATATAAAATAATTTTTAAAATAATCGTAGTCTGCTTGTTGTCTATAATCAGATTTTCTTATAGGCTCCTCTTAAACTTCATCTTTATTAGTTATTGTTCATTATTGAATGATGTCAACTATTGTACATGGTATAGAAATAATATGTTTTTTTTTCTTGTTTACGAACAGTCGTCTTCTGCTGTTTACTTTGCATGTTTTACTGTTGCTATGTGCAGTCCTTCAAAAAAGAGTATGTAGATGAAAAGAATTCACAATAAAAAGCAAAAAAAGGAGACAAAAGGAGACCGAAATGTTGCCATGATGCAAAAATACGAAGAAAAAATGGCTTGACAAACAACGCACTCGTCTGACTTACACAACACTCGAACAAGTCGGAAGAAACCATCAGTAAAATTCACTCGGTATGGTTAGTTTTCATTATTTGACTATAATGAACACCTTATTAAAAGAATTTCTAAGATTGGAAAGAGTATTTCAAACGTCATAAACAGAGCTACATAGCATGCCACAAGTAATGAGATTTCGAAGAAAAACCAGAGACACAGGTTGCTTCAAGACGTTATTTCATCGAATGCTCGAAGCAGTTCCTCTAGTTATTTGCAGAGAATCGTATACATTCAAACCCCTAGTTCTTCCGAGAGAAAATCTATTACGTCAGTTTTACGAAAAACTAACATGTGAAATTCATATAGACTTGAGTTTCTATTGGTAACAACTCTTATTTTAGTCTATCCAATGGGAAACTACCAAATCCTGAAAGCTTGAATTCCCTGGATCCAAAGAGTTTCCTATTATTCTTTAGAATTCCAAATGTTCCTCAAAATTGCATAGGATTCCTCTGATTTCTCTAGAATTCTTCGGGGTTCCATAGGATTCATCGAGTTTCCTAACATTCCTCAGGGTTCCGTAGGAATCTATGGGACTCTCTTGAAGGGTGTAGCTGTGCGTATGTCTTTTCTATCATTCGCGCGCACATCCACACCCATATCTACAGGGACACCTTCATCCATCCGCATCCACATGCACACCCACATCAATACTCACACCCACCCACACCCTACACACACACCTACACCCGCAATCCACACTCACATCCAACACTCACCCACACCACACACACCCACACCCTCAAGACTTTTTAAATATTGAAATGAAGTGATCTTTGTAACGAAATGGTTTTGAGAAAGGATGAATGACTATTTTGTAGGAAAATGCTTGCTCTTTCTTCTGCCACTTTCAGAAAAGTTCATCCACGTACATTTTATTTTTGGTAAGCGAGTAATCATATCGAACGTGCACATTCCAGCCATTTTGGCTTGGTTGATTATATGCAGTTTTAAATCCTAGAATAAGTTATTCTTAAAAGTGTTTGCAATGAAACTGTTCGGCACGAGATCCTGCGTCTGCATATATAACTTTTGGATCGAACCGATGCGTCTTTGGTATGACAAATAACTAAATGCTTTTCTGTTCCTATAATTTTGACTAGTGCTGTATAAAACAATGATGGTGAATGTTAGATATTTGCTTTAGATTTTAAAAAGACACTTTCACATTAAATTACTAAACCTAAGTAACAACGTTTGAGACTTCTAGATATATTCTACCGAGAAATTTCGATTTCAAGATGGCTAGTTCTACTCATGTGTCTGATGATGACGTTCTTACAAATGCAGATGATCAACAATTTGAAGTTTTCTGCATTATTTGGCTGGATAATAATATGCAAGCTAATGATGATCGAGATACAGAACAGAAATTACGTTCTATTATTAACCGTTTCAAGCGGTTCAAAGATGTAGAACGATGTCAGCAGTATATCAATGCACGATCCACAGAAGATAGACTAATTATTATTGTCAGTGGTCGATTCGGACGAAAGATTGTTCCAACAATTCACAATCTTCGGCAGGTTATATCAATCTATGTGTATTGCATGAATGAGGCCGATAACAGAGAATGGTCTAAAAAATATACAAAGGTAACAATATTATTATGAATGATTTCGATTTTATTTATTATATTTGATTTTTGTTTTCATAGGTCAAAGATGTTGTTACTGAACTTGATAAACTTATTTCTCAAATTGAAGTTGATCATAAAATTCAAAAAATTATTGAACAACCATTATCCATTACTATTTTTAAGGCAGGCAAATCAATAGACGATGTCAATGGTAAATTTGTCTATTCACAAGTGCTTATCGACTGTCTTCTACGACTTAAAACTAGTCCAGAAGATAAGAAAGAGCTTATTCAAATTTTGAAAC